GTGGGCCGTGGCCGCTGAGCCTGCGCGTCCGGAGCCTGTGCTCCGCAAATGGGAGAGGCCGCGACAGTGAGAGGCCCGCATAACGCAAGAAAAAAAAAAAAATTGTACTGTCTATTACAATTGGATAGTGAAAAGAAAATGAATGAAGCTGGGGGAAAAGAAGTGAAAGGTATGGGAGGAATTTAGGAAGAAAATAAGCCTAGCTGAGTGGGATCAACAAACCACGTAACTACCTTTTGGAGAAGCTTCTCCCTTACCTAAGAAGTAAGCAGGTAGAAGCAGATCGAGAACAGAGGATTTCTGGGGAATGATCTGAATCTGTTAGACTCCCAGGGTTAGACATATCAGGGAATAATAATTGTCCCTAAGCCTTCTCCCAATTTTACACTGTGATATAAATCACATTTTTATGGGTATACGAGCACCTGGCACACACTGGTCACATTTACCAGGCTCGCTGGCAGCTACATCTGGCCAATGGGATATAAGCAAATTTTAGGAAGTGTCCCTACTGAGAGAGACTGACTTTCTTTTTCCTGCATTTTGCTATGTGGGATGCAGAGCTGGCGCTCTAGCTGCCATCTTGAACAATGAGGATAAGGGTCACACCTAAAAAGGGGAGAAAGTAGTCTGTGTTGCAGAGCTGCCAGGCAAGTCCTGGACTACTTTGCTTCCAGACTTGTGTCTGAAATCTAAATAAACTTCCATCTTGGCTAATACACTGTTATTTTGAATTCATAAAAGGAAAAGAAAGAAAAGGAAGGAAGAATGAAAAAATTAGGAAAAAAGGAATTGAAGCTCCTTTGACTTTGCATAATGATGATAATATCAATAGCTAATATTTATTGAGTGCTTCCTCCTATGTACCAGATACTGTGCTAAGCACTCCACAGTGTATTTTATTTAATTCTCACAACAACCTGTGATTAGAAAACTGGGGATCAGAGAGGTTAAAAATTTGCCAAAGTTCATGAAGCTAGAAAGTGGTAGATTTTGGAATTTGAGCTCAAGTGTGTCTATTCTCAAGCCCAAGCTCTTAACTACTCAACCAGTGTCTCTCAAAATGACGTCTGTGGTTTACCTAGATCACAATCTCGGAAATGTAAAAAATGCAGACTCTTGGACCCCATCCCTGACCAATTTGACCAGAATCTCTTAGAGGGCAGTTTAAGTAGCTGCATTTTTATCCAGCTCTCCCATCCATCCAAGTTTGATGCCGCTGGTCTGAGTTATATCTTATTCTAACTAAAATGGAGATTTGATGTAGTTTTATAAATGGCTGAGCTGCTTTTTTCCTTTCTTTTTAGAAGACATTCCCATACAAGGTGGCTTATGTATTTTAATGACTATTGAGCAAGTATATTAGACTAAAACTGCACAAAATGCTTAAATCTCTTTGAAGGGGCATAAACTTTGAAACCCTGAGATAGTACTAATTACCTGACCATCTTCATCTTTTCTCTATCTCCCCTCAGTTGAGATAAACTATTGTGGAAGCAAACTGTAAATTCTAT